ACGAAGGGGGGGTGAGCGGGGTTATTGTGTGGCTGTTGAATATAAGAAGTGGCTGCGATGGAGCCATAATGTGATGCTGGGGAAACATGAAGCGGGCTACGTGCATACTGTAAATATGATAAAAAAATAAATTCATGTCAAACACAAAGCAATCTAACACGATTCCAACACATATCCAAGCTCATCCTGGAGTAAATCCCCAAAAGGTGGGTCTACGCTCTAACAAACTGAAAGGCACTTACTTGCAGTCAATAACGTTGAGGACGGCCGGTGCCCAGACCTCGTACCTGACCGCTCCGCAGTGACAGCCGCCGGTATATTTCACCAGATCGCTATCCATGTTCGCACGTACCTGTGGTGGTATTAAGTATTAATAACTTGGCCTGTGTCATTTCATAGTTATCACAAGGGGCTGAGGTGCTTCTTATATTAGTTTTTAAATGTCTCTATTGGAAATTGTTAAGCATAATTCATGTTCACTTCGTTGAGTTTTGCGAAGACGAGCCGGATTTCCCTGCAATGCAATTCCTTCACTTCACAATACATACAGAGTTCTGTTGCATAGACAGTGCCTCAAACTAAATAACAAAATAACAAACAAAGACACATTTGATATATACTCACTGTTGAAAGGAGGACCAGTCTCAAGCACCCAACAAGGCTGAAATCCCCTGAACTATTGTCGGAAAACTGGTCGAGACAACCAGCACGACGCGTGTATTGCCACACGCCGCCAAAATGCTTGGTGTAACTTGGGGTCTTTTTCATACACGCGAGCAATTACCTTGGGCTTTCCAAACATAAAGGGAAAGTAGTTATATATATCTATATTTACCGCAGTGTGTAATCTAAAATATTTGTGGTTCGTGCTGTGTGTCGCATTAAACTCATCATTCGTCCAATAACAGGTTCTGGCAGAGGCAGCAACATCATTTGACCTTCGGTGGGACTTAATACTTATATCTCATTCCTCATTTTCACAAAGATTGGGTAATGGTCAAAGCATAGCAGGTAGTGTTCGGCTATCCTTGCTGTCACTAGACATGCATTGTCCACATGAACAAAACAGGAATGAAGAAATTGCGTTTTAAAGTCTGACTTGAGCACCTTGGGATGCCTAGTCTCGAAGGAGAATTATATGCGAAGTACGAACATTGTTTGTGATCATCCAGGTTGTGGTGTAAATGTAAGGAAGAGGGAGCAGGAGTATGGTATGCTGGTGATGACGTAAACAGACCTTTTTTGTCAAAAGACTTGGCAAATGTGCAACAAGATATACTAATTCATGATTACTCACTTAAGATCCATGTTTGAGAAAAGTGTGTGAGGAAGGGACAGTCCCAAAGAGTGACGTGGCTAAGGCAAGATATTTCCATTAACAGTTTGTGCATTTCATTTTCAATCCAGGGAGAAATCAGTAAGAATTCTCTATATATCTCTTATTTTTTTCACAGTAATTACGCGCTTAGGGGGCCCCCAGAAGATGACCTTCGCTCACTCGCTGCTTTCGCCTGCGTATAAATGTCCATTTTTTTTAACACCCCCGTTATATGACCCTGGTCTCGCTGTTGGTCTCAGACTCAAATAAATTATGTTTTTGTCACGTCAGTCACCAACTTTCCAAATTCGCTTCACCTGTCACGTTTTTTATCACAGACTGGGAAATATGATTTACTATCTTCAGATACAATTAAGCGTGAACAGTTCTAGTTACTGAAAGAAGTACATAGAACAAGGATTACCCGTTAGAAGCTATAAAAAACGTAAATCTACCCTTCCCCTCCTTACATGGTCGTGAGGTGTGTCTGGAAAGCTCAAGTTTACGTGAAGGGAAATGTCACAGAACAAGGTGTGGTCGGAGAGCCTCCGTTGGCGCGATGTGGCCATGAATTCGACGGGCTTGAAAGTGAGAAACCCGCACCTTATCATGTGTGAATCTGAATGGCAGTCTGTCTACATTCACCGGGAATCATTTTATGGTTCTGTCAATATTTGGTTCGGAAAAGAAAAGGAATCAGCTGTCGTGTTAAGGGACGCCTTTCGACTACCTCTTTCAAATACCTTTGGAGCATCCAGTTACCTGTATGGTAACTGGGTGCTACAGCCATTTTCCATGACAGTACCACTTTCCAGATGCAGATTCAGACGGTTGATAAAGTACTTTCAGATGCGAAAGCGAGGTATCTGAGTCTGCATGGCCCTGCGGTCACCCTTTTTGGGTTTGTTTCGATAAGGTATTACAAACTTCGTGACCAGAACGAATTTGGTATCCTACATATCTTCAATCCAGAAGAGCGACAGTAAGTATAAAAACTCGTATAAAATCTCACCATCTTGTCGGTAGGCAAAGCAGAGGATCCAGAAAGCCCTCAGCGTTCACTTTGCGTCCTTTTTGCGGCCTTCTCCCGAGTTCGTCGTGGCACCGAAGCGACGGGCAAGGCGCTAGCACAGGTGAGGGTGCGAGGAGGGCTTGACAGCTGCAGAGACAGTGCGCGGAGGT